TAGCTCACGCAAGCACCTGTTTTGGTGTACGCTGATCCCATCCAGCCATATGAACTTCATGTTGATGCAAGCTACACCGGTTTAGGCGCTGTCCTTTATCAAGAGCGTGAGGGCAAACTCCAACTGGTAGCCTTTGCAAGTCGGGGTCTCACACCGCCTGAGAGAAATTACCCTGCTCATCAAGTGGAGTTCCTGGCATTGAAATGGGCCATCACAGAGAGGTTCCATGACTAACCTCTATGGGGCCAAGTTCACTGTAAAAACCGATAATAACCCTTTGACATATATCAAGACAACAGCAAAATTATCCGTAGCAGGGCACCGGTGGTTAGCGGGGCACTCTGCCGATGATTTCACTCTGCAGTATCGACCCGGTCAAACAAACATGGATGCAGATGCCTTGTCTCAGAAGCCTCACTCTAAGGATTTATTACCCAATGATCAAATGAATGTGGAGACCCCTGAATTGAAAGCTTTATGCCAACGGGTATCCATTGTGGAGAAAAAATCCACAGCCAATGGAGAATGAGCAATTGACTGTCTGGGTGCACCACCAGAAGCCATACCCATAGTCTACTCAAGTTTTACTAGAGTACAGGACCCTCAGCTGCCCAAACTAAAGAACTGAGAGGTGGAGCATGCCCAGTGAGCTGATCCATGGATGAAGGACATCTTTTATGCATTGGAAAGGGGAAAGGATCCCAGGACTATTCGACCAAGTCATCCAGAGGAGGCCCTTTTGCTGAAAGAATGGGATCGCCTATTGGTTCGGGATGGACGACTTTACCGAGGGCAGAAGCATCCCCAGAGGCCTCACCATAAGCAATTGGTGCTACCGCAGAAGTACCGGCGAGGCGTGTTAAAGGCCTGCCACGATCGAATGGGGCATCTGGGAGTCGAGTGATTGGAGGCCCTAGTTAAGGCAAGATTCTATTGGCCCTGGATGGGGCCTGACATCGCCCACTATATTCGCACCTGCACCAGATGTGTCCAACGAAAGACTCTGCCTAAGCAAG